TTAGTAATCTGAAAGTTGTCTCAAAACTCTCGTTTGTTCTAAAAGTTTGCACCGGAAGTTCACTCAAGACCGTAGGTCACAAAAATCAGTTTTTCTCGGTTTCTATAGGTCTAATGGTGTCAAAATCTACTATAAAAATTGTAAAGCATGAAATTTTCGAAAAAAAAAAAATTCATACGACTGACGGTTTTTGAGATAGAGGGGGAAGAACCCGCAGCGCTCAGCCACAATCGCTGTAATGTAAGGTCAATCGTGCATCTCAGTGAATAATACCTTGTATGGATTGTACAAATTAAATTTATTGATTATTTTCTTTCTTCCTTTCTTTCTTTCTTTGAATACCTATTGTGGCATGAGCTGTGTGGCAAGTAGAGCCGTCTTGTTGAAACCACATGTCTTTGGTGTCCGGATCATCCTAGTCAGACCAAAAGAAGTTGATATTCATCGACCTATCATCGCCGTTGACAGTGATGGTTGGTCTGGCCAACGTCGATGATGCCGCAAGCCCAAAATCCGGCTAAATTGTACTTTAGACACTCACGGATTATGGCGATTTTGTCTGGGATGATACTAGATGATGATAGGAATTTTGAACACTTTTTATTTTTTGTCAGACTCGATTAATTTTCGAGCCCATCAAAGCCCATCAAAGTTTGTATGATGTCATAATTTTACCTTTTTCTTTACAGCAATGAACGATTGCAATTCACAATTTTTTTCATTCACATATCTTTTTCATATTATTGCACCTTTTTCTATTTCTTTTCTAAAATAAATGAGGCTCTCGATTCAGTAGGACAGGTTGAATGTTGAGAAAAGACAGTTTTTTCACAGTTGAATATTCGAAAATACGTTCGTTTTCGAATTCAGGTTAGATGTTGAGGAAAGATAGTTTTTACAAAAAATTAATATTCGAAAATACGTTCCTTTTATAATTAGGTCAGGATAGGTTAGGTTAGGTTATGCAAGGTCGGGTTAGGTTAGGTTGGTGAGGTAGGTTAGGTTTGTTTGAATAAGGTTAGGTTTGGTTAGGTCGAGTTAAGTTAGGTTAGGTAAACTTAGGTAAGGTTAGGTAGGGTTAGCTTAGGTTAGTTTAGATCGCGTTAGGTTAGGTTTGGTTAGGTTGAGTTGGGTTAGGTTGGGTAAGGTAGGTTAGGTTAGTTTGAGTTAGGTTAGGTCGGATGAGGTTAGGTTTCGTTGAGTTAGGTTAGGTTTGGTTTGGTCGAGTTAGGTTAGGTTGGGATAGGTTAGGTTAGGTCGGGATAGGTTAGGTTAGGTCGGGTTAGGTAAGGTTAGGTTGGGTTGGGCCGGGTTAGGTCGAGTTACGTTATGTTGAGTTATGTTAGATCGGGTTAGGTTAGGTTGGGATAGGTTAGGTTGAGTTAGGTTAGGTGAAATTAGGTTAGGTCAGATTATGTTAGGTTTGGTGAAGGTAGAATTAGTAAACCATCGGTTTTTCGAATAATTAATTAGAAAATATATATTTCCTCAACATACAACTTGAACTACTGAATTGAAAACCTCATGTATTTCAGAAAAGGGATAAGAAAGGTGCGATGATATGGAAAAAGATTTGTAAATAAAAACTATGTGAATTGCAATTGTTTTTGACTTTGACAGGTTATATTCTGAAAACTTATTGAGTCCGAGTGAAAATAAAAAGTGTTCTGGATTCCTACCATCATGTAGTAAGTATTGTCTTAGAAAAAATCGCGAGAGTTCGTGAGTGTCCCATATAGTAATATTTTATTCTTCTCACAAATGGCATTTGAAATATTGAAATTCAGAGAGAGAACAGGTACCAAAAAAAGAGACAACCGCTTGACAGATAAACGTGCGCCACTAAGCACTAACAGTTGAACAAATGCGCACATCAATATTAGGTATATTTATCCATGTCATTTATTGTTCTCATTTTAGGTATAAATGTCATACTCAAATGGAAGTTAAAAATCCAAATAGTGAATTTTTATGCAATTTATTAAAAGTGATTAGTGTTATATACTTAAGCACCTGACAAATTATGGAATTTCAATCTAATTTCAAGAAACTTGGCAATATAAGTAAATGAATAGGGATACAAAAGGTGCGATGATATGGAAGAGGGTGTGTTGAATAAAAAATATGAAAATTGCAATCGTTCATTGCTTAAAAAACGGTAACATATGACATCATACAAACTTTCACAGGCTATATCTCGATAACTAATTGAGTTCGACTGCAAATGAAAAGTGTTCTGAATTTCTACCATCATGTAGTATCATCCTAGAAAAAAACGCGAAAATCCGTGAAAGTACAATTTTCCCCAAAATCCACACCAAACAGTGACTTTTTTTGGATGCATTGGACGCTCTTGGATTTCATTAGGATAGGTTAGGTCCAAAGTGAGTAGGTTTATTCGACCTTCTACCGCAACCCGCAAGAGTTTATTGTGGCTCACACCTATTCTCACCCAAACAAACCCATCTTCTTAACGAAGCCGATTAGTTTATATGGTGAGTGGTCTTTCAGGTTAGATGATAAAAGTACGGCTCTGCCGAACTCTAAAGACCTGATTCCGTTTCGGTTAGGATAAGAATCGTCCTAAATTCGACAATTTTGTTTGTTCACGTAGTCTTTCATCCAGAAACGGGCTGAAATTGATTTTTCGATTGAAATTGGGGTTAGCTGTCAACCGCTCCAGTGCCCATTCAGCGAACACACGTCGTTGTCTTTGGTTGTTTACTTTTAGTCCCTGGGTCAGAGCTGAACTTTGTACGGATGCAGGAACAAGTCATGACTTAAAATTTGCCAAGTTGTGGTCTGCGAAAAGCCGGAATCTTGTGAGCGACTTGAAATCGTTCGCCACGGATTCTCCTGCACACTCTCACAGACATCGACGAATAGTCGTCTCGGTATGACGATTATGAGCAAAGTGCGCAGTGCGTTGCCCGAACAGAACATCTATTTTGATAAAACTGTTTTGTCATTTGCACATGCTGTTGAATGCTCTATCCTTATTCGGTGATCTGACAAAACGGACTGAATGAATGACAACTAATTTGTTGTCAACATTTATAGCAACATTTGTAGCAAGATGGCCTTTATCAATTGTCAAAGTTCGGAAGTCCCTGGTGGGGGACCCTTTACTTCTTCTCAGATCCCGTGTAGGTATTATGAATTTGTCTCCAAAAAAAATAGATAATTCACACAAAAAACAGGAATTTGGTAATGGAAAAAAATGGAAGTTCGTATCTAATCGTTCGTATTAGATCCTTTTATCAGTTTATGATCTAAATTTGATGTCTGCATCAATATTCTCGATACAAACGAGTAGTTATGTTTCATCAGTTCTGACTTCCATTGTCTAATATAATATAAATTGTTTTGAAATCCCTGAAAAAAAAATAAAAAGATTAACCACAAATAACAATTTTATTAAACAAAAAACTGAAATTACAAAGAAATAACATACAAGTAACTACCAAAAAATAAAAACCAAAACATTTGTTTTCATTTTTTATTAATGATATTTTTTAATTTTTTGCTCTTATTAATATTTGAATTTTTATTTTTTGGTTGTTGCTTGTATGTTATTTCTTTGTAATTTCAGTTTTGTGTTTAATAAAATTGTTATTTTCGTTTATTCATTTATTTTTTTTCAAGGATTCCAAATCAATTTATATTATATTAGACAATGGAAATCCGAACTGATGAAATACTCCACGAAACATTGTCAACCACCTTCAAACAAATGAGAGTAGGTACTCTTTCACCCCCACTGTTTAAACCTTATTGTTTAAACGAGGGAGTAGAAAAGAGAAAGGAGATCGGATGAAAATGTGGCCAAATTCCACTTTCACAAATCCAAGTGCTGATGCTTTTTTGTCAAAGTTAACAAAAAGCATCATTGCATTACCCTTGCAAATGATACACCAAACAGAATCAGTACATATAGAAGAAGTTTTTATTTTACTCTAAACTAACTAAAATGGTAACTAAAATGAAGAGGAGTTTGTTTGAAGGTGGTTGACAATGTTTCGTGGTGTATTTCATCAGTTCGGACTTCCATTTTCTAATATAATATAAATGGATTTGAAATTCCTGAAAATATATTGAAAAAGATTATCAGAAAATATCAATTTTATTTGAACAAAAAAACTGAAATTACAAATAAATAACATAAAACCAAACAACAACCAAAAAAAAAATAAAAATTGAAATATTAATAAAAGCTGAAAATTAAAAATTATCATTAACAAAAAATGAAAGAAATTGAAAGATTCCAAACCAAGTTATGTCACGACGTTTCGATTGTTAGTATCCACAATAGTCTTCGGGTGATAACTGGACTCATTTCTCGGAGATACGACTATTTATAGGCCATTCGAATGCTTTCACCTATCCCCTCTTCTCTCTTCTTTCTCTCCGCTTCATTGATTTTAGCGGGAGATGACCATTTGGCGGGAGTTGGTCGTTTTTCGTTTGATTAGAGGTTTCCATATGTTATTTATTTGAATAGAACTGACCGACACTTGATGAAAACCCATATTAAAGCTATTGTATTAATGAGTTTTTTATAGTTCATTTCTTCAAGTAGCTGTGTAATAAATAATTTCAAATTGGCTGTTCTAAAGGCATACATAATTGAATCGTTTAGAAAGTGAGAAATGTAGTATTTACTTCAAAAATTCACCTATAATCATCAGCTGATATTAACAAATTAGTAAATCAAAGTCATCCATATGAATAGTACAAAATGTTTTTCAGTAAAATTAAATTTTCCTTATGACCAGTAGAATTAGTGAGAGGATAAAATTATGTCAGTTTGTGAAGAAATCGTTAAGGAATACAGTACTGCGAAATCACGCCACTGTTTTGTCGAATTCGCTTGACATTTCTACTGCCTGAAACTAAAGAAAAGCTCTCCTGAGCAACCCATAGCAGCTCATCTTAAAATTCATGACCTATAACTCACAAAGATGATGAATGAAGGAGGCCAAGGCTTTGGATATTGTCTATCTATTCAATTATTCAGCGGTTCATATGAAACGTCAAAAATGTCAACTTCATTTGATACGAAAATTCTCACACAATCTGAGGTAAATAAAAAAATAATAGCAAAGCCTCCAAAAGTTCGTCCATATGAGAACTTACTAGGTCCGTTTGACCACTATGATGATGAAAACTACAACATATACAATAAGAAAAAAAAACAATTCTATGAGGCATGCAAGAACTACAACAGGATGGTTCAAGACACACTCATTTGTACTGGAAGAAGATTGCATGGTGATTATATGGATATGTTGAATTGTGAATTCTTAAATGAAAATGAGGTATGAATTTCTGATTAGGTATTTTTGCCATATGGTTGAGCTGATTGTAATAATTACTTTCAATATTGATAATTGATGTGTTTATTAATCGTGATAGAAAACGTCACATTACTTTATAACTGTCTATTGAGAACCAAAATTAAGTATTGTGTTAGGTTTTCAAGATTTTGAATTATTTTTCTGTCTCACTATTCCATGTTTAAGACACATGACTTTTGGAAGAGTATTTGTTCAAGTTTAGTTAGATAATTAAGTTTTACTGAAGATATGTTTTTTGTTTTCAGGACAATAAAAATAAGGCGCAAGGGGACGAACATGATCCTAATGGGAGACAAATCAGACGTAGAACGGAGAGACCGATACATCACGTAAGTTGACAGCGTGACGAATACAATTGAGATGAAGTGATGCTATTGAAAAAATATTATTATTGCTCTTGAAACGTCATTGAATGAGTTCTGAAATAATATAATTTCTGAAAGATATAGATATGAATAAAACATAATTTGACAAATATTTAGCCACTGAGCAAAGTTATCCTGAAGGTCTAAGGACGTATTCACTTCATTTAGTAAGTTATAAATCATGAAAAATACGAAATACTTTTTGAATTGCCGTAACACTCAATCATTATCTACAACTTCGGTTTTTGAATCATTTCAAAGATTATTCGATCTTTTATAAAAACGATTTCAATAGCCGTTATCGTTATCGTATTTCATAAACAATTGAATTGATTTTGAAAACCTTTTTTTTCTTTAAAAAATGGCAGTTCGTACAATGCTTTAACCAATGATTTATACAATTACAAAATGAAAAACAATTGTAAACAATGAAAAAAGTTTCACGAGAATATTTTCACGAAATAATTTTTTTTTCATGACAACATGAATGGTTTATGAACAGATGACGTGGAGAATTATATCCAGCATTAATTATTGGCTTTGTTGGTTGTGAAACATTTGAGAAAAAAGTCAACATCATTATTCAGATATATAAATTATGTTTTTTTTTTTGGGAAGGATAGCTTTTGGCTTTCTACTACTTCACCTTGATACAAACTCTATACATGGATGTGTAGATCATGCCAAGAAGCAACTTCCAGATACAAACTGGTAGAAAGCCCTCCTTAAACAGCTACTTTCATATAAACATTGAATGACACGAAAAAAACATTCTTTCGAAACAAATACTTTTATAAGGACACTGAAATATATAGGAGACACTTTTCTCTACTCAGTTTTATTACAGTTTGTATAATTCCAAAATAATATATCATTTGGTATAGTATCAACGGCGGTGCGTTTCCTGCCGTAATTGGCGCGCAGAGTTGAATTAAGAATATAAATAATGTAGGTAGAGTTCCGGGAGTAACTACTTTTATATTAAAAATGTCCTTGTCTTTCAGTATATTTCATTTCTATATCAACTAGACAATAGCTAGACTTAGCGACAAATATCAGTGACTGCCCTCCCACGATGTGTTAATGGGAGGACACAGAGGTTCAGTGATATTTGATATTTTCAGATACCGAATCAATGCCAAATGGTATGCAACCTAGAACCGTGGTTCAAAAGATATTTGGCTCTCAATAAATTCATCTGGGCGGCTAGAACGATAGTAGTAAAAAACAGGTTGTTGGAGATTTTGAAGAAATTAAAGAAACTGGACAAAGATGAGATTGCCAAATTTGAAAACAAGAGAGTGGTCATCAACGTTAGCTATGCAGATGTTTTCCAAAAGTTCCTAGAAGAATAAAAAATATTAGTTTTTGTGCATGTAGAACCTTGCGTTTCTAACAACTTACCCATGCCACCCACATTGATTTCTCCCAATTACCTACTCATTTTGTTTTACACAACAAATATGAAAAGAAATTTCGGAGCTTTACTGTATTCCGTCTCAGTCTCAGTCACTATGTATGAATTTTTCTAAATTCAGCTTAATAATTCGGTTTCATATTGTTCGGTTTCTCGTTTGTAATTGATGAAAAATGCTAGTAAAATTGAAGTAGCAAAAAACCATATTGAAAGAATTCACAACTTTGGAAAAATAATAAAAAAAAATTGAGAAAGAAAGTTTTTGGCTTTCTACTACTCCATCTTAATATAAAAAATATAGGAATCTTCCAAAGAAAGGAAGATACCAATTAATTTCAAAAGAAGTAACTCTATACATAGATGTATAGATCATGCAAAGGAGTAACTTTCAGACACAAACTGGAAGAGCAAACCCTTCTGAAACAGCTACTTTCATATAAACATTACACGAAAGAAAAATGATTTCGAAACAAATACTTTTATATGAACACTGAATTATACAAAAAATTGTTTGTCGTTATGGAATTAACTCAGATATCAATCACATGATTTCTACACAGTACACTAAATGAAAGGTAAAAATTTTACTTACATGGAACACTGTCATCCTCACGGGTAGAAATCGATGTTTCGCCTTAAGACACTTGCCTTAAGGCTCATCAGTACCAATCTGGATAATATTATAGAACTATTTGTTTCGAAAGAATTTTTCTTTTGTGTAATTCAAAGTTTATATGAAAGTAGCTGTTTCAGCAAGGCTTTTCCTTCCAGTTTGTGTCTGAAAAATACTTCTTTGCATGCTCTACACATCTATGTATAGAGTGACTTTTTATAAATTGATTTCTTCCTTCCTTTCTTTGGAAGATCATCAGATTTTTGTATCAAGATGGAGTAGTAGAAAGCCAAAAACTGTCTTTCTCAAAAAATAGTTTAACTTAGATACTATAGTTTGCCTCATCGTTTCTGTTCGTAGTTTCCCAACTTTTTGAAAGACTGTGATCATCGTTAGTTTTTTTCACTAATAGCTTCAATGTCAATGTTGTTTTCAACTCTTTTTCTATTGTAACATCAACAACCAATTGGAAAAGATTTGGAATCCAATATTTTGCTCTGTTGATGACAACATACTTCTTATTTCCTGCAAATATGTGACAGTTACTTTAAAGTACTAAGTAACTTTGCGAAGACAATATCCCATACACAGTCTGTACACCTCGCATATGCAAATTGAACTAGAGGCTAATCCGAGTGTTATGTTAACAGAGCTATAAAATTGAAATATCTCAATCTAGTCGCTTAGAGTGCCAAAAAGTTCTCCCATGAAAGTTTGATCCTGTTATTCAATCAGATGCTATTTCTCTATATGGAAATGAAAATATATTTTTACCACTCTTGTTGAATGCTCTGATAAATGAATATATTTTTGGTATAAAATGTGTAAACTAAATTGAATACAATACTAACAGAAGAAATTAAAAAATGATTTATGACTTTGTAAAATGAAGATATTTTTCTATAATTTTAAAACTGTTACAAGACTTGAATATCTATAACCTGAAAAAAGTAGATTACTTTTTGGAAAGAAATGGTTTAGATTTCTACTTCTCCATACAAAAAATATGTGAATTTTCCAAAATAAGTAATTGATTTCAGAATGAACTCTTTACTTTCCAAAAAATATACTTCTTACAATTCAAACAAGATTCCTATGGCTAGGAATGAATCGAATAACTGAATGAATGTCATTACGATGACAAGTAAATTCAATTCATTCGTGACATAAAATCGTAATTTTATAAATGAATAGAGTGCTTCATTTCGTAATATCACCCAAATTGGTACTGAAGAGGCAATAAGACAAGTGTCTCATTTCGAAACATCGAATGTTTGCCATTGAGGATAACACTGTTTCATGTAAGTGAAATTTTCACCTCTATCATATACTATATAATGTTTCGGAATAAGACAAGTGTCTCCTTGTAGAAGACCTGGACGCCAGGATACGAGAGTGGAACTGCTTCAATCAACCAAACGCCAATTGTAAAACCTTTTGAGGGTATCCACTTAACAACAACGTTGTTATTAAATACTCTGATGAAGCTACTCATTACTTGTGGAACAGCGCGTCACCAAATATGATTGACCTTTTGATAACAAGAACATAAGAGATCTCTCAGACCTAACGGTGCTGTATGAGTTGAGTTCGTATCACTGTTCGGTGGTTTTTAGTCCAAATAGAGAACAGCCTGAGTCTGTGAAAAAGTAATGTAACTATAAGTTCACGGACTGGACCATGTTCAGATCTGAGTTCAACAAACTCTCTAACATACAGAGACAGATCACCGTTCAAAACTTGAATGAAACCACTGAAACAATAATTGAAAACATACAGTTGCGTGGGACAAATCTACAAGGTTGGTCGTGGTTGAGGGCCACGACCAACTGCAATGGTAAATATACAAATAAATGAGTTCACTTATGCCCGGTGGAAGGAGAAACTGGAGAGGCTGAATGTTCAGGACAACTTCCTGTGTAGGATGGCGAGGCGTATTGACAACAGATACGAACCCATGCTTACCATAGGGAGCAGTAATGTACATTCGGTAACCAACAATCAGAAGGCTAGAATGTTCGGTGAATATTTTTACAATGTTCACCACTCCAGATATAACAGAAAAACATAGAAGGGTCTCCGAAACGGCTACAAGGGTGCGCTCTATGTCCCCACCACGCCTGAGCGATGACATGGGGAAAATACTAAAAGACTTTGAAGAAGTGAAGTCGAAAGTGAAATATCTGCCCATGAACCAAGCACCGGGTAGCAATGGTGTTGAGGCGGTTCAACTCCGAAACCCACCGCGTATGGTCGCGTGCAAGTAGTGCGTATCATAAAGGCGATTTTTTAATTCCAGCATTACCCAGATTGTCTAAAGCGCGCTGAGGTAGTACCTATTCATAAACCAGGTAAACCGAAAAATATGAAAGAGAGCTACATGCCGATTCCACTGCTTAGTGTGGTCGCCAAGGTCATTGACAAAATTCTATTGAGCAGACTCCTTCGTCCGGAGAAGAGGCTGAAACTTATCTCGGAGGAACAGTTCGGCTTCGGGCGAGATTGCAACACGACCTCGCAACTGGTCCGCCTGGTTCACGGAAAAAAGGAGGTCTTTCACCAGAAGAATGATACAGTCGTGGTCCTCCTAGACATACATGAGGCGTTTGACACGTAGAACAGAAGGATTTATCACGAAGATGTGGACGTATCATGAATAAGGGCACACGAAAATTCAGGAATAGAATAAACCAAGCTATCTCTACAATGAAAGCGAGTGTTCCGTAAGAGTTCTGCCTATCCCCACACTAAAGCGCCCCATACACTGTCAGTTTAACTGAAGATAATTGTGAGGCCGTAGATCGGGATTGCCCACACATTTATCAGTTGATCTGAAGATAATGGACTGCAGTTCGCCCGGACTGAAGGTGTGTGGTCGCCGGGCAGGCGGGGATAGGATGAGAGATTCGCGACAGGCGTGATCTCATGCAGCCCCTATCACACACTGTCAGTTAGCCTGCAGGCAAGCGATCTATTGTCACCGTTTCCATCAGTTTTGCGTGAGATCATTCACCAGCCGAGATTGGACCTCCTTTCATTTCCGCATTTATTGAATTATATCGGACCTACCCCTGTTTATGGAAAGTCAAGGACGATTCCTACGCAAATAAAAGATCGCGGATGAGGCGTACGGAGAGTTGTTGAAGTTGTATCAAAAAACTGTGCCGTCAGCCACCGTTGACACAGTGAAAAAAAAAATTATTAAAGTTATCCGTAAAGAGTTGAAGAAAGTAAAACAGCAAAAGTCGGGCTCGTCGGGAGATGACGCGTATACCCCGTCACTGTGGTATTTCGACTTGCTATTGTTTACAGCCGACCATGAAGAAACTAGAGCGACGATTGGGAGTGAGGAATCACAACTCGTAAGTTACTATTTTTATTCTATTCTAATTTATTCTTTAATTCATATCAAATACATACAACAGTACAAACAAATTTTCACAGTATAATATTTCACCCTCTCACCCTAATTGGTGACAAATTTGTTTTGCCAGGAAACTGCACCTTCTCCAACAAAATAGTTCTTGTAATTATCACGATTCTCCTTTGCTTTTTCACACAAAACTTGTTTATTATATCCCTGTCGTAGACCTACCATCTGAACTTCATCCCTATCCCCTCGAATAACTTCCCCACTATCAATATCTTCTATATCGAGTGAATTTGATGGAATGTACAACGGTTTTGCTTCTTTCCTCAGAAAATTATGAAGAGCACACGCTGCTAGCACAATGAAATCTATTTTTTTTGGTTTCAAGTTGATTTCTGTGTGAAATATCCGGAAACGACTTGACAGAATGCCGAAAGCATTTTCTACTATTCTGCGAGCTCTGCTCAAACGGTAGTTGAATATGCGCTGGTCATAAGTCAATTGTCTTTGTGGATATGGTTTAAGTACGTTTTCATGCAAAGCAAAAGCGTCGTCAGCTACAAATACAAAATTGAGGTTTGCCTTGTTGGCACTGTTCGGTGGCAAATTGAGACTTTTGTTTAGTAACTTCGTATAAAAACCGGTACATTCAATTACACCTCCATCAGAGACTCTGCCGTTACAGCCAACGTTTACGTATATGAACTGATAGTCTGCGTTAACGATTGCCATCAAAACTATACTGCAAAACCCCTTGTAATTATATAAATATGAGCCACTGTTTGGAGGTTTCTTGATTCTGATATGATTCCCATCAATGGCCCCTCCACAATTAGCAACTTTTGGCCATTCCTCTTCAGAGTTTGGTAACTGAAACAAATAATGAATATAAAACAAGGTGTATTGTATGTTAATTAATATTTTATGTTATATGTTATTTATGTGATATTATATGTTATTCAGCTTTTAAAGTTTCTATTCAATTTATGTTCCAGGAGAGTCAGGATGAAACCTCAAGCCATACGTAATCACAACTGGTATCGCCCCCTTTCCCAGTTGCTAGCCTCAGTTGGTCTGACAGTATTTCATCAGGCCCATCAACTTCATCCGGAAATACAAAAAAATCGGGCAATCATAAAAAAAGAGAAGATGCTACCGACGCAGCTTTGAAAGCTTTGAAGGAGGACGATGAGTTCGATGGCATTGGGCTCAACATCGCATGCAAATTACGCCGTATGGATGGAGATCAAAAACTGTATGCTGAAATGTTAATCAACAAAGTGTTGATGCATGGTGTGAAGGCAAGGCTTCAAGAGGAAACTGATTTCCTGGGTCTCAAGTTCGTACAGCCGCAAACACCAGTTCGTCGAGTAGAAACACAGATTCCCTGCTCCTTTGGTCAAGATGAAAACCTCTTCCAGACTACAACTTCAATCCGAGAACTGGAGGGGGAAGTACCACAAACGAATACTTGGTATCTGCTGATGCTGACTCTGATAACCAGTTGTCTGAATTGTTATTGTTGAAGTAGTTGTCTGAAAATAGTTGTCCTTAAAAGCGCATTAGCTTTCCGTTATTAAAATACTTATTAAAATACGTTATTAAAATACTTCCGTTATCATTTAAAATACTTATATGATTTTTTTTCTCAATAATTTCCAATACACAATTACATATCTGCTTACATAATTTTCAAATGTAATGGAGCAAAATAAAACAATAAGATGAATGAAGTTTTTTTGAATTTAATCTTACCTTCAAATAAGAATCCTTTAGCACCATGTAAAGTTGTTTGCAGGTCTCGGATATGATTTTCCCAAGTGCTTGAGGTGAAATTCGCGTGGGAAACTTCAGCTCTTCGAAACTTTGACCCGTTGCCAAAAATCTCAGAGTTGCAGTCAACCTTTCTTCGGCAGTGATAGCCTGGCGCAAATGAGTGTCCATTTTTCTGATTTTCAATGCAATCAAATTTAAAAGTTTTTGGAAATTTTCTCCACTCATCCACAGATAATTCACCAGATTCTCGTGGTGAGACACCCTCAGTTCACGGAGCAACGACATGTGAGAGCTAGCCTCTCTATCTCGCAGCCAACTTTTTACCCAGACCCTTTTTTCTTGGGGCTCCCCAAGAACTGACAAAACAAACGCGCAACGTTTCTGACGGAGCATGGTGATAAACTGGGGATCTCCTGCAGTCCTGTATCTTGGCCGCGACAGTCCGCCTGCAGTCCTGATTCATTGACCGACAGTCCGCCTACAGGTACCGGACTGTAGTGTGTGCTATCTTCAGGCTATCATCTGCAGTTCAGTACGGCCGCCAGCAGGCGGTTGACTGCTAGTGTATGGAAGTCGGCGATATTGGTCTTACGATCGCATGTTGAGGCGACGGCCTGCAGGGAATCGCATAGTGTATGTAGTCTCTAATACTCTCTATACGTACGACTCCCTTATGTTGCCAAAAACGAATGTAGGCATATACGCGGACGACACCGCGATATATGCGCATTCATACTCAAGCGAAGTGGCAACAAGACAGCTGCAAATATACATGGATAGGTTAATTCGTTAGTTGTACCATACACGGAGAGGAATAAGATAAAGTTGAATCTCTCAAAGACTGAACTTCACTTCTGATGAACGAAGAAGATTCATATTGAAACAACTTGTGTTTCATGTAATTAGTTTTTCACAATTCCTCATTTGTGAAATGTTCATCGAATAATCTTTCATCAGCATGAATCATTTCTCAAAAGTAATCCAGTACTGGGAGAAACTTTCACTGAAAGAAATAATGAATATTTTTTTAAATATTTTATTTATGATTCATTCTCATTTGCTGATTTATAGAATATTCATGGAACGGTTTATCATTACCATGCCTTATACAGTTATGAAAAGTACAAAGTTCAAAATCATTTTTGAATTATACAGATATAAGAATAGGTTAAATGAATGAATATTTGTTTTCAATGCAGTATTTTATCAGAATATAAAAACCCTAATTTTCAGGTCGATACATAACACAAATTACAAGTTTCTCATTGAACCTCGTATTAACTGGTATTTCTGTTGGTATTCCCCAGAAAATTTCTCTTGAAACTGCAGGCAAGATCGTGTATCACGTTATCGTAATATATATTCTATTGAATGATTTTAGTCACATCGTAAATACGTCTTGTTCTGTCAATAAAAACATCATTAGAGTTTGTGTAGGTCAAAGTTGAATAATTTTTTGAAGTTTCATATTATAGATTGAATAGAAATTGTTTTGGTGCAAGTGACATGTTTTCTCAAAAACGGTATCTTGATTATGTGTATCTACCAGCAAACATAGGTAAGGTAGAATTCACCTTTTATGTAGTTGTTTCAAGGAAATATATTGAAATATGTTATGTAGTTTTTTTTTTAAATATAACACATATGATGAGTTAACGTCAACATCAATTAAAACTGGTGGTAAACAGTCCATTGTGGAACTTTGTTATTTACAAGAATTTTGTAATCATACAAGGCATACGAGGTTTATAAGTAAGTAACAAAATAGATTTCGAAAGTGCCAATATTTTCATTGTTATTTGAAATGGTTTAAAAGATTTATACATTTTCTGAAACCAATTTATGATCAAGGCTAATACGATTTGGCATATTTGTAAAATAATTATTGTGAAAGCCTAGAGAATGAAATTTTGTTGAAAGAATTTCTAATAAACAACCTGTATTTTGGAATAGAATAATATAGAAAAGAAAATTATTCATTGAGAAATATATTGAAGTAATAAGATTCAACAATTACTTGTATTAACACCGACGTATTCAGTTAAAGTAAAAATTCACAAACAACTGCTTCAAAATTATTACAATGATGACGGATTTGGTGTTATCACTTATTAGAGACCCATACCTCGTATAATGGCATCCCAACTTTGTCAGTATGGTCCAGGATCAATCTGTGAAATTATTCTAGCTACTTGAATCTTTTATTGAGTGTTGAATTGCAATATTCGAGAATAATGATGTATATAGTTCTCAAATTATTCATTTTGAAAAATTAAATGTATCGATAATTGATATTATTATTTCTACTCTAAAGTAAGTTCTCAATCTACCCCTATAAATATGTTGTATATGTATATAAATAACGACCCTACCCGGGTTCACACGGATAGCAGGACACATAGGACTACATTTTTTTTCTGTCATAGTTTCACATCAACTTGTGACTGATAATAATAACCTTTGATTCGAAACCAACGCAATTGCAACCTTTCTTCAATAAGTGAGCCGCATTAGTTTGTGAGTTCGCTTGAATATATTTTTTCACGTGACAGATTTAATTTTGCCATACATTTTATGATATGAATGGCAGTTAAAATCTGTATAAAATTTTTGAAGTAAGTGATATGATTTGATAACGATTAATATGGTATTCGTCTAAATAACTCTCTAATTACCAAAGACATGTGCCGCCGTATAATTTTTCTAGACCTATAAACTGCGTCACCCTTTATAGAGAAATTATTCCGCTATAGATCGTCTGTGGCCTGTGGCTGATAGAATTCATTCAGTTGAAAGCTGACTATTTTGGGATTTTCATTTTCGACATGTGTCAGTTTGGTAACAGTTCAACTCAAACCAACTGCCTCCTGGTGGTGCTCATTCTTCATTTCTTCAATTTCCACTGAATCATTTATTTCCATGGCTTTGGGCAATTCGTAGTCCAGATCCGAAATAAAATCCCAATTTTTTATTTCAGATCAAATAAAAATTGTTCTCAGATACGTTCCTACTCTAATCAGTGTATTTTTTACAATTTATCACATAAAAGCACGTTAGCATCCTAAGGCCCAATTCACACAGAATGGACGTTTGGCAGAGACGAGGCGAGGACCTTTGTAGCTTCCGCATCTCACCCATGTAAACAAAACCAACAGGTTACTGTCGTCCTTTCTCGTCACTGTCCCGCATCTCTATGTGCTTTGCACATGCCACATCCCCCACGTCCCTGCCATGCCGAAGCAATGACTCTGCCAGACGTCTGTTCTATGTGAATTGGGTCTAACGCAAATCTTGATTATTTGAGGTCTTCCATTTGAAAATTTTGAAAATGTGTTGAATCATTGAATCATGGAATAAATCAACAAACTTACGACTATTTCTTCCTGAGATCTAACTTTACATTGTATATTCAATTTGCTCGATTGAGTACGTAGAAATTATTAAACTATTTATTTTCTTTATTTTCGAACGGATGATATACATTTCTTCTTTCGAATCTCTTCGAATGAAAGTGATTTACTTCTAATAATAATAATAATAATAACTGAACATACATTGACATATCAATATCTTTTCGTCATCAATTAAGTGTTCAGTTATGACATTTCGAAATCAATGCATAGTGAATGTATATGTTTATTTATTCTCGCAAATGGATACCTCTTGTCAATTTCAAAAAATAAAAGAAAATACAACTAACATATGCAAGATGACTTTGAAAACAATATTTTGTCAAGAAATAGCAAACTTGCCAGAAATATTTCATAATTATTTGAAGAGAATTCAAGTACTTTCAATTAAGAAAGTTTCGGTTCCATATAGGATGTTTGACAATATTCTCAGAATTCCCAATAATATTTTGTTACACATGTCGCCATAAGCAGATACTTATTAAATTCGTTGAATTGCATATGGTGTATGGTCATATGATATCGAATCCAAAGTCCAATCGTCCCAATGGAAGACAGCTAAGTCTTACATTGGGACAAAAAAAGAACGCCAAGTTCGATCAACTGTCAAGGTTTGGCTCACTGTTTTCTTCGATTACTGTGACGTAGTGCATCAGGAGTTTTTGCCATAGGGTTATATGGTGAATAAGGAGGATTATATTGAAGTTATGAGCCGCTTGCGAGAAGCAATACGAAAAAAACGTCAGGGATTCATGCCCCAGTCACCGTATTTACCAGATTTGTCCCCTGTGACTTTTTCCTGTTCCTGCTCGAGTGTAATAAAAGGCAAACTGAAAAGTTCACGCCGAAAACTATGTAATATAAAACTTTGATGGGTTCAGTTAGTCAGTAATTCATGGGCTTATGGCGTTTTTCTTCCTCTTTTATATGACACCCATTCCAACAATCTTTCCCCTGTACTACTTTATGCAGGTTCTCCTGTCGGATGAATGTTATATTCCTCCAGACATGATTTGGGTTGTCCATGAATTGTTTGCCTTTTGTGATCCAATGCGTTTATTTACATGAAATATGACGAGCTGCATCTATCCCTCTGTCTCTATATCCCTCTGCAGTTATTATGGTCTCCGTGTAATAACTCTTTTTCGTCCTCTCAATGAACAGTGTTCATTGAGTAGCTCTGTATTTGTTCAGAGCCGATTCCTGCTTTCTTGAGGCAGTTCTTTACTTGGACAGTCACTGTTATGAAGATTTCTCCCAATTTGGTTACGTACCAAATACTTTGGTACCACCACAGTTGATTTGATTCCGGGTATCGATGATCTGGCACACTCATACGAATATGTTAATCGACAGAAAATTCAAACCAATAGATATCTCCACTAAAAACTAATTATTATGCTAGTGTCTAAGAAGGTTAATCAGTTCAGTTCGGAATTTAGGAAAAGAAGAACTATTATCAAAACTGTATTGAAAGAAAACGCATATCCAGGATAGCAAGTAGAAAGAGTTCAATGAATTTAGTGAAAACAGGAGTCCACGCATCAGATAACTAAAGTCATAGCTCATATGCCCGGCTCGTCCAAAAAATTCTGACAGAAATGATGTTAGAACAACTTTTAGAACTACCAATACATCGAGCATATTTTGAAATAGATATAGTTAAAGATATAGTTAAAGATATAAAGATATAGATAGTTTTAAAAAACACTCTTTTAAAGAACATCGAACTGAAAAGTTAAAAATATTTTTTCAAATAAGCTTGAAACAATAACGAACGAAAAATACTAGTATTATTGTGAAAAAAGCGACAGGCCCTTGATACAAAAAACACACATACAAAAAATGTGGCACAAAGCGCCCACGTTTTTTTCGCAATAATACTGGTATTTTTCGTTTGTTATTGTTTTAAGCTTATTCAAAAAAATATATTTAACTTTTCATTTCGATTTGTTTAAAAGCGTATTTTTTAGTTTTTTCAAACTATATTTATTTTTCATTTTTTAATTTCGTATACTATAGAAGTGTGTTTTTAAATGAAGAAATACATGTGAAGTGAGTTCGAATTATATTGAGGAGGTTATGTACAGCACCATCTGCCCGCGAATAGATCAAACATTAATGTCGAAAATACAGATCCCGAGCATTCAAAAGGGAAAGAAGAGCTACAAACAAACATACATACAAACAGGTGAGGTTCGATGTTTTTCAAAAGCGTGTTTTTCAGTTTTTTTTAAACTATGTTTATTTTTCATTTTTTTAATTTCGTATGCTATAAAAGCGTGTTTTCAAATGGAGAAATATATGTAAAGTGAGTTCGAATTATATTAAGGAGGTTACGTACAGCGCCATCTGCCCGCGAATAGATCAAGCAATAATGTCGATATTTCTGTCAAATACAGATCCCGAGAATTCAAACGGGAAAGAAGAGCTACAAACAAACATTTATACATACAGGTGAAGCTAATATAAATGTATTAATTAAAAATAAGGCAGCAGGCGCGCGTGTTAGTGAAAAAAATCCTTTTTTCAAATGAAGAAATGCATGTAAAGTAAGTTCGAATTATATCAAGGAGGTTCCGTATAGTGTCATCTGCCCGCGAATAGATCAAGCAATAATGTCGATAATTCTGTCAAATACAGATCCCGAGCTTGAGTGTTACAAACAAACATACATACATACATACATATAGGTGAAGCTAATGAAAACGTGTTAATTAATATAGTGCACTGAAATGAAATGAAACAAACATAATTAGGAAAGAGCTTCAAAAAAACACCAAATGTATTCGCTCATTTATTTATGGCAGTGTATTTCAACTAACTCTGTAAAAATAGATCGTACTTGGTTACTCTTAAGTCGAGAGGTTGAGGACGAAAATATTACCCTGAATTGAGTTTTCGCCAAATATTCTGAGTGTGTGTTTTTTGTAGATTATCGAATATGACATCTCAACATTTTATTCCTTTGACTTTTGTCAAATTGAATACACACATTCTCAAAAAGTCGCATTCGAAAGTAATTTTGCATGAAAGGAAAAGGACTTTTTCGAATCGTCAGCTGTTTTGAAGGAGCGAAATACGGGAAATTTGATTTTTTCAATAATAAAGTTCATTTATAGGAGAAAATTATAAATAAAATCAGTTAGTAATTGAACTTTTCAAAGGCTTATATCAGACAATAACTTTTTGGGGTGAAATTTTCAATTTGCCCATATCCACACTTGAGCATTACCTTTTTTGATCGTGGAAGGTTATAAACCCCAACAAATTTAGGAATATTAATTCCATTCAACAATCACTCCTGAGATATCAATCTGAACTTTATGGTTAAAAGGGCAGGTTAATGTGCATGATGAGAATTAATATCGTGACAATATTGTTTTTGTCTAAATAGCTTTTCGATTACCACATTTCATGCGATCATAATTTTAAACAATGGAATGGGTATAGTAAGCTGTCCTTGACAGATAGGCATATGCCATAGCGGACTTTTTTCTAGAAGCGCAAAAGAGGAACAATGTGTAGCTAAATCACACAAAAAATATTTCTTTTACAAAAAATATCAGTTGTATACAAACTTTCCCTGGAATTACTCCAGCCATTGGTAAAAGACGTATACTTATATAAAAATATATTCATTTGTTTTTCAGTTGATTGCGTTCAGGCAGACAGACGCAGCTTGTTCATTTTTTTCATATTATGTACTGATGAGAGTGCCATGAAAGATGAAACAAGTATTTTTTTTCAGCCAATCTACTATGTTTCACCGCTGGTACTGTATTAACTTGGTCGGCTCCAGTGTCAGACGACCCTGTTGATATTACCGTGGGCCCATTTGGGAGAGAAATAACTCTTGAGGAGTCGTCTTGGATATCATCTCTTCCTCTTTTCGGTGCTGCACTTTGCCCCTTTCTATTTGGATATATGGCAGATAGAATAGGAAGGAAACCAACTTTACTATATCTAGCAATTCCCTATTTTGCTGGTTATATGATGATGTCTTTCGGAGCGAATGTGAAAATGTTCTGTTTAGGGAGGTGAGTTTCAACAATAATATTCTGAATGTATTTTATATCAACCTTCAATGAGGAAGTGAGTGTTGGCAAATTCTTTGAATTTGATTATTTTAATTCAGTGTTTGGAGGTGGAATATCTGTTTGTATGAAGTTTGTCTTTCGGTTTGTTTGTAAAAAAAATATGGGAAGTTCGAAAAGATTTTACAAAAGGTATAACAATCATTATCATTAACTCATATTGCAGATTTATTACTGGAATTGGTGTTGGGGGCGTTTTCACAGTACTGGCAATGTACATAGGAGAAATATCAACGAAAAACAACAGGGGCATACTCACCACTTCCATGACATCGTTCTTTTGCCTGGGGATGTTTTTTTCGGTGTGTATTGGGCCATTTGTGTCATCGATGATATACAATTTGGGTATGGTATGAAATTAATTACAATCATTATTCATGCACCATCAAGAGAATACTAAAACTGAATCTTGAAATTCGTTAGAGGCTTTAATACACATCTAGATGAATCATTACCTTCAATCTGATGAAAAAATCTGTTCTTCCGTTAATCAGACACTGGATCAATACTGAGGATGATTTAATGAATTCGCCCGGAATTATTACATTATATTGATAGGTTAATTCATATACTTGATGGCTAGTGAGAATTACGACAAAAAGTACGTGTATCAAATTGAGCAAACTATAATAATGTGTATCAAAGAGCATGTTTCACACATTCATTTTGGTAAAACAGACAAGTATGGGGTCACTCAACATACTTCAGAGCATAGAATAGATGAAAAATACTTAAAATCGTAGATTCCAGTATACGACATCACGCTCCATGAGTGTGAATTTTCTGGCCCAATTTCAATCAAATTCAGATTCGTAATTCATTTCAACAGTTTACCAGACCGTACTCAAGAAAATAACCACCTCAAAAGTTCTACAATCTCAGAAATTTCATCAAAAGTATCTACTAAGATGCCGAAACATCATTGAAAAAACTATTTTTTAATTTTTATACGAATGTGTTTCAACAATGTTCCCAGTGTTCAAGATGGAAACTATTTTAGTACTTTATTTGTTATGATTTTACTCACCGAATCTCATAGATTAAATCCAGCTTATAATTTGGTGAAAATCTGCCCCTTGGATAAATCACTTAGGTAAATACTGAAAAAATACACATTCGAGATGATTCTGTCAATTTTGTAGACCTGCTAGAAGCTGGTATTTGAACTACATATAGTTTTTTGATGTGCTCTTTAGCAGAATTACCCTACTGAAAAGCTATCTTCTGATTAGAAAACTGTTGAATCCATTCAGAGAATGAGTGAACAAAATACGAAGGCCTTAGCTGCAAGTGATACACCTAGAAAAAATGAGAAACACACAACAACTGTATAAACTGATATAGAGATCAAGGTCAAGATTGTTGGAATTAGGGTCACGAAAAGATGAAGTACCAAAAATTACTCAGGATATAATTGCAAATTCAAGTGTATATGAGAACTGATAATATACAAACCCTTCATGAGGATGAGCGAAAAAAAAAATTCCTCAGATCATGGAAGTTCCATTCGTGATCTATACGTACTGATGGACTTGATATTTCATTTTTGTATTTCAGAAAATTCTCTTGTATAATTTTGAGGTCCTTCTAGAAGAAGTTCAAATAATATTATTAAGAACATTAATTTTTTCAGAACCTATTCGAATTCACATAAAATATTCGTGGATTTATCTTTTCAAGCTACTGGAGTAGAATGGAAGTTGTCGCATACAACAATATTGATATATTGCTATTTAATTCTTACATTTTGTTGTTTGTTTGAATGTGGTTGAAAATATTCAATGGTGCATTTCATTAGCTCGGACTTTCATTGTCTGATATGATTTAAAATGATTTGATATCCCTTAAAGAATCAATAAAATTAAAAATATTAGCTGAAAGAAACAATTATATTAAGCAAAATAAACTGAAATTACAATGAAATGAAATACAAGCAACAATTGAGAATTGAACAATAAAAAATAAATGTAAATCAAAATTAAGAGACTTCAAGCCAAGTTAATTCACGACTTTTCGAATGTTACTATTCACAATCATTTTCTGGTGATGACTGAACTTATTTCTCCCCCCATTCCCCCTCCCGGGTTGAGTGCCCAGAAGTAGAAGCTTCCGCCCCCCAGCTATTTAGCGAGGAGAACCTACTACCCCACTCCATCCAACCTCGCTCTCCGAGCGGTCCTCAACTTACTGATGGGCACTTTAGGTTCTATTCTTTCGTGATCGATAAAAAGTGTTTTGTCTGACTATTCCTAACTGAATTTTTGCATGGAGGCCCCCAAAAACTAACCGGCGGCTATTGCTGTTAACGTCGGGCGTTCCTCAGTGAATCTAAGGATAATTGGATCGCGGTCGAGTTGTTCTGCGGTGAACTTGCTGAAAGAAAATCTGAATTGTATGCTTACCGGAGTCGCCTGACGGCGACTCGTGGGGGCGGTCTTTGGTTCTGCTTCGTCGGCCTTGGATGTTTGTCCCTTTCTCGGAACCTGGGGTCATCCATGTTCAACGCATCGTGTAGATCGCGTAGCGCTGGGTTGTTGTGCGATCTGATTCTATCGAACACGCTTTCTGCGTGTTCTCTCATATACACGTCCACATATTGCGTGTCCAGGTCTAAGTCTCTGTATATGTATCTATTTGGGATATAGTACGGCGCATTTACGGCGGCCCTTACGCTCGCGTTCATAAACGACTGTATCTGCTTCCTCTATGTCTGTGCGCACTGGCCCCAGGTAGTGCAGGCATACAGTATTATGGGCATGAGGACGGTTTTGATCATTAGCAACTTCACTTTCAATCCCATGTTGCTTCTGCGTCGTCCTATGATAGGTGCCAGTCGTTGTCTGGCGTGTCTAGCCATTCCAATTCTCTGCCGTACATGAGACTGAAATATTAATCTCCTGTCTAAGATGACCCCCAAGTATGTCGCTTTGCTGGTCCACGGAATCTCTTGTCCGTTGAAGATGACGATGCCTTCCGGTTGTACCAACCTGCGGGTGAACAGTATCGCCTGACTCTTGAACTCATTCCTCTGAGAGCTGACTATTTATAGGTCATTCAAGTGCTTTCACCTATCCCCTCTTCCCTCTCTCCGCTTCATCGGTTTTAGCGCGAGCTGACCGTTTGGCGGGAGTTGGCCGTTTTCCACTTGATTGTAGGTTGTTGCGTATCTTTATGCTAGCTTGGCTGAATGCGTTGTTGGACAACATATATCTGGCTCCTTTGAATTTTCTCCTAAACAAGTGTTCCTCCTTGTTTAGAATGTTATGTTGATGAGTCCAAACATGCTCTGTTATTCCCGATTTGCTGGTTTCTCGTCGTTGTGTGTATTTCTTGTGGTCGGCAATTTTATTGATTCTTACAGGAATTTCAAATCATTTTATATTATATTGAACAATCGAAATCCGAACTTATGAAATGCACATTTTGTCGTATTCAAGACTCTACCAAATCTCAAAAAAGTGCCTACGAAAAAGCCATTTTTTCTTCGAGAAGTTGATGGAATTTTTGTCCCTGTTCCACAAATTGTTACGGGGTATTTCGAGTCAACTCTTTGGTCAATTCTTCACCTAATCTAAATGCTTTGCTTTCAATAAAGCTGCCATTTCTAACCTATGAAATAACTAAATGAAATCTTTCACATATATCAACACGCATTTCACATGAAACATGTCATGGACATACACTTCTCTAGACCTCTACAATTTATCTGACAAAACATTTTGAATGTGATATTTGATAGTGGGGAATGAAGTTTTTCGTTCCACAATTCAAAAATCTCGCATGCGACACAATATGTCATCGTTTGGGAATAGAACCCATTACCTTCAAAATGAAACCTACGAACTATTTTTCCTACATTTTCATCAAATTTGAAAATTCATCAGTTTGATAATATTTTGCAGTTTTGGCAGCACCGTCTCTGATTTTTCTGGTCGCATTTTATTATTTCGGAACGGAAAGCCCTTACCATTTAGTTTCTATAAAACAGAATGATCTGGCAAAACAAGTTTTGAAAAAACTCGGAAGAACTCCTGAAGAATTGGAAGAGGAATTTCAGGAGATTCAAACAAGTGTACAAGATTTGAAAGAGGATTTTAATGTTTTAGATATTTTCAGGTGAGTTTCAGCAGTCCTTATATTGGAAAAGATATTTATGAAAATTTCGTTTTTTTGTTGTTTGGGTGAGGATGTCCATCCTTTCATCATCTTTTTTGATATTAATGGATTTTTTAAATATAAAAATATTTTGAAATGAATGTGACAACAAAATCCAATTGAAAGGATTAATTCACCTTGTCAGTAGCATTTCTCATAATAACCTTTGGCTATACATTTCCTCAAAAATGTTGAGATTTGGTTGAAATTACTCATTTGGGAAACATTTCGAGCATCGTTGAAGATTGCGTACGAAATTTTTCAAAAATACCACTTCAATATCTTTCAGAAGGTATTGGGTCCCACCTTTTTGATCTCTTATCAGAAAATTCTGATGGGAGATAATATTCACTCAATAAGAAGAAATTAGTCTTTGATTTTTTTCAAAAGTTTCAAAAATTATGAAAATTGAATTTTATATCAGTTTTATTGAACTTACACCCGAATCATAATTTATTAGCTCATTTGATAACATCTTCAATAATCCCGAAAAATACTTGCTTATGAAGAGAATAAAAAAGATGGGGTGATATGTGAAAATAACAATAAGCGAGAAATTATTTAAGATGCGGGCAGAATGCGAGCGCCGACAGCGCTCATTCTCACGAGTAATGAACATTCCTCGCGGATAGAATACTGTACTTTTTCTATGACTTATAATAGGACAATTTCGAAATAAGATTCATTTATGACAGATATCCCAACTGAGAGCAATGAAATCATAATTCACAACACGAAGCAACCTACAAAATATTTGAGAATATTCCCTATTATTAAATATTGTACGTGAGTTATTTTATATGTAGAAAAAAGGATTTTTTATTGACCTTTTTTTCTAACTTCCACAATCTGAAAAATATAAAAATTGTGATGAGAACTTTATTCAGATGTAAAAAGTCAACTTCACACTGACATAAATTCATCGAGTTGAATAGAACAACACGAGAATGATTGTCAATGATCCCCACTCAGAGATGTAAGCTCAAAGGATCAGCGTATATCCTCATATCTGAGGCGTTGTTCACAAATACAGTGATGATGTTACATAGTTTTTCTGTAATTCACAAAAAAAATATTGATCAATACCTAGCAAGTTCTGAAGCAATACCATGTCTGATGCGTACAAATATTCTCCTACTTTAACGTCTTAGGAGAAAATTTTCATTATTCCATTACTCCTTTTTGGCAATGTCCTATATATGCTAAATCTTCAGCACTTTCAAAGTCACGATATCCTGGTTTGATTCAGGTTTCACACGCGTAGGTGGTAGGTATACTCATCACTGTATGAGACCATCTCATAATATATCTTCATCGGTGAACCCATATTAAAACTATTTTCAGATCCAAACCCCTTATCAAAGGTCTTGTAATATCGACAAGCCTGCTGGTGTTTCAGCAATTATCTGGAATCAATGCAGTCATTTTCTACAGTCCGGATATCTTCAAGGAATCAGGAACGATATTGAAACCAGAATATTGCACAATCATTGTTATGGCCATCCAGTTCTTGAGCAGTTTCGTCACTCCTTTCATAGCTGATAGGTAAAAAATTCGATAATTTCACGCAAAAAATTATTACTTTTTCCGTCTAACTGATTAAGACCGTTTTTATTTCAGGTTTGGCAGAAAAACCATTCTTCTTTATTCCATCATTGGAATTGTTATCTCAGAGGTACCCCTGGGAGTGTATTGCTGTTTGGAGAGCCAAGGAATCAACGTCAAATCGTTCTCCAGTATACCAGTCATAACGCTAACAGCATATTTGATTTTTCTCAACATAGGCTTAGGACCATTGCCTTGGACTATTTTGGCCGAACTTTTTCCTCCCAAATTTAAATCTTTCTCAACAGCTGCCGTATCGACCTTCATTTGGGCCATAGCATTCGTTTTTACCCTTTACTTTGAGAAAGCTATAGAAGTTTTCGGTCTGGGACCGCTGTTTTTATTTTTCTCAACATGTGCCATTATTGGAGTAATTTTCACCATTTTTTGTGTGATAGAGACGAAGGGTAAAACGTTACAAGAGATACAAGATTTACTCCATAAGTAGTCTATTGCTTGTTTCATTTTCCAATTTGAATATATATACCATAGACACGTGTTTCGGGCTTTTGGCCCATCATCAGTATGGTGCAGCCAAGTGTAAGGATGGGCAACACTTGGTTACCAAAAAATAGAAATATTTTTTTATCTATCTATGTCTTATCTTTTTCGTAGTGAATAATAATAATAATTCACTAGAGTAAGAGTACATTTTTTTCAAGGGAACAAGTTGAGTAAAGTGTTTAGGTGATAAGTGCTACTTCACTCCTTTTGCAAACAATTAATAAGTATGATGTAATAAAAATAATACAAAATACAAAATACAAGGCAATAATATTGCATCACGAAAAATATAAATGATGATTGAAATTTAGTAAAACGCGTAAAATAATATAATAATAATATAATAAAAAAGTTGAAATTGAATAGTCTAGGTAGGTAGGTAGGTAGGTCTGAAGTGAGTGGGTCTATTTGTTTCTCCACCGCAACCCATAAGAGTTTATTGTGGCTTCCACCTATTCACACTCGGCCAAATAAACCCAGCTTCTTAACGAAGCCGATTAGTTTGTATGATGAGTGGTTTTTCAGGTCAGATGGTGAGAGTACGGATCTGCCAAACTCAAAGAACCTGATTCGGTCCCCAGCGGAGCAGGCACAAAGTATATGCTCTGCAGTTTCATCATTTTCCAGACAGAGGCGACACACACTGTCTTCCGACAGTCCAAGTCTCTGCATGTGATGATTCAAATGACAGTGACCTGTAAGAAGGCCTGTTAGACATCTTATTCCAACATCAGTTTGGTATCAAGCTTCGAATGGTGCATAAACGCCTTGGAGTGTGCCAATCCTGGAAGATTCTGTGAGAAGTCCATAAATCTTCTTGCCATCCAGGTGTTCAATCTTTGGTTGGCAAAGCCTAAAGCAATACCAATGACAGGTTCTGGTTCAATGGAGCTGCTTGCAGCAACCTCCTTTGCAAGGGATCCAGCAGCCTCATTGCCTTCCAGGCCAGTATGGTTAGGAATCCAGACCAGAGACAATCTGTTAAGTCTTTCTATCGAGGAGAGTCGTTTTTGGCAATTTGCTACCAATTTATTCGTTGCTCGGTGGGAGCCAAGAGCTTCCAACGCCGCTTGACTGTCCGAGAATATTTTCATTGACTTGTGAGTGAGGTTGGATTTATCCAATCTCTCCGCACATAATTCAATAGCGTAAATTTCCACTTGAAATACAGTCGCAGGCAGTTCTTAGTTGACAGTTGGAGGCATAAAGTCAGAGGTCATTTCCAGAATGCTGTGACTTCCAATGTCAACCAACAGTCTATTGCACTCTGCATTGAATTGATTTGTGCAATTGGCAATGTGCACAAATTTGTATGCAGTCCATCTAGCCTCCCTTTCCAGAAAAATTTGGAGAGGAGGTAGATCTAGAAGGATATCCATGGCCGCTGACGGTGTAATACTGATGGCAGCACTAATAGCCAGACAAGCCTGTCTCTGTAATCCAGAGAGCTTCGCTTGGGCCGTTTTCTGTAAAGCCTTCGGCCACCAAGTAATTACACCATACGTGATCAGTGGTCTGACAATCACCACATAAATCCAAAGGATTTGTTTGGGACCTAAACCCCAAGTTTTACCACAAATCCTTCGACATGTCCATAGAGACAGTCTGGCTTTGTGTAAAACTTTTTCCAAATGAGCGTTCCAGGTAAGTATTTTATCAAGGACAATGCCAAGATATTTCACCTCCGTTCCAAATGGAATGACCACACCATAAAGGGAAAGTGGCGTTAGATCGTCCAATTTCCTCCTCTTGGTGAAGAGAATTAACACAGTTTTGCTGGGGTTGACAGACATCTGCTCCCTCAGGCACCAACTGTGAACAACGTCTAACGCGCTTACATGTTACCCTTCCCGACGTGGACCTTGCCAGTATGACAAGGTCATCTGCATAAGCTTGCAGATCAACTTTTCTTCTGTCGAGGGCATCAAGCAGACTATCCACCAGGGGCGACCACAGAAGGTGAGACAGTACCCCACCTTGAGGGCAGCCCCTGGTGACCCTGAACCTGATAGCCTCGTCCTGAAGAGTATTAGTTGCAGTTCTGTTTACTAGCATGACATAGATCCAGCCAGTTATGATCGATTCTATACCCTTCCTAGCCAGAGACAATCCTATAGATTTAGGTAGTGCATTGTCAAATGCTCCTTCAATATCAAGAAATACAGCAACCGCAATCTCCTTGTTGTCAAGGGATTGGGAGATTTTCTCAATGTGGTTGTTTAATACTGAATCTGTCGATTTGCCGGTTTGATAAGCATACTGGTGGTTATTCAGTGGGGATGCATATAATGCAACCCTCCTGATATGTCCGTCCAGTATCCTCTCAAGCACTTTCAGCAGGAAGGATGTGAGGCTGATTGGTCGTACCGATTTGGGGTGTGGGTCTCTCCGGCCCACTTTAGGTATATATACCACCCTTGCTGCCAACCAACTGGGTGGTATATATTTCCACGCCAGACTAGCTCTATACAATTTTGTGAGAATAGGTAAAATTATTTCCAGTCCGTTTTGAAGAAGAGCTGGAAATATACCATCCTCTCCGGGAGATTTGAAGGGCTGAAAAGACTTGATAGCCCATACAACTGCCGGTGCTGTGATAACCTTTCTTGCGATGTCCCAGTCGTTCTTTATTGGGCGTTTGGCGCCGTCGAAGATGGGCGGTCTGTTGTTATCAAGAGTCAGATTTCCAGAAAACGTTTCTTTACTAGAGATCGTAAATGTTCCATCGGGTCGTTTAAGCGACCCAATTTCAGCAGTCGGCTCTCTAGAGAGAATCTTGTGAATTCTTGCGCTGCGAGGTAAATCAGAGATACTCTCACAGACTTTCTCCAAGACTCCCATTTTGCCTTTCTAATTTTCTTGTTGCATGACATTAGAGTGGTTTTATAAAGCTCCCAGTTACCTGACTCTTTAGCTCGATTGAATAGTCGTCGAACTTCTTTTCTTTTATTTTCAAGGCTTTTGTTCCACTAGAAGAGGAGCAGTTATCTCTTTTGACCCTCAGTACAGTTCTCATGATAGGATGAGATCACTGCTTCGCGAAATTGCGTCGCTACTGTATCCATATCATTACAACTGTGAATAGTACTGAATCCGTCCTCAAAACACTTGCCAAAAACAGCATGCACAGTGGGTGGTTCAGGCAGTGAAAGATGAACAAGGACAGCCAACCCGCCTAGTCTAGTCTAACCCGCCTAGTCTACATTAACAGTATAGGTGATGCTATGATGATATTATACTGCAGGAGAAATAACATGATCAAGTATTGAAGATGGATAGATGAAAACCAAGTTGAGTTAATAGTTGTGTTGAACCAGTTTTATGAGATAGAACATTTTTCACGAAATTCTGTCATTTTCTTATAAGAATTTTTCAAATTCTTTTTTGAATAATGACTTATGAGATATATTTCTTATCGCTTTCGGTATTGTATTAGTTATAAAGTTTTGCAGCAGTGAAAGAGTATATTTTCACGACTAGTGCCTTATTTTCACCTAATACGAAAATACGACAACATATTACCGATCATGAAGGAATCAGGTTGGCCTCAACTAGTGAACCTCGAACACTGCAACTACTCACCAACACACACAAAGTCTTGAACACCGGAATGGCACATTATTTAATAAACAAAATGAAGGCTTTCTCGAATATTATCAGCTTTTCCACTAGAAACAGGTCGTTGCTGGTCATTCCTGAACACAGGTCTTCTGTTTCCACTCGCAGCTTCTCATACAACGCAGCTAAATTCTACAATCTCCTACCCAGCAAATTCAAATTCCACACTATGAAAAACTTAAAAAAAATACTCAAATTGCATTTATTCGATTAGCTCACATTTCTCATGCTGACCGTGGCTCATTTTTTCAGGCAATACGATTTGTTGACCGAATAATAATGTCTGCCGCAGTAGCAGATGAAACGTTCGGTACTTGAGGTTTCATCCGACCACGGCTGAACAGCCCATATTCAATTCTCTTCAACTTGAACATAATTAGTATGTTCAGAACCACTGTTACGTTTCTCAAATAAATCTAGAAAATTGAGAATCTCACAGTTTCGACTTATGATAACAGGTACTAGGTCGAAAGACTTCGTTAAATGAGAATTACAGCCAAATGGTTGGTTCATGTATATTATGTTCCATTATCTGTTTGAAAAGTCTGTTTAAAATCTGTGTTTCCGTTAACCAGCTGTCGCACCCCTACGAACGACAATCCTCAGAAGTCGAAACTTGTGTGAGCTAAAGACTAATAAACGAGGTATTACCTTTTAACGTGTGATTCCTAACACGAGTTGGACGATAGCAAGTGAGAATCGATCGTTCAGCCTGGGGCTTGAGCCATCCGACCAACACGGCGGCCGATTCAAGTTAGTGAACAAAGCACCCACGTCGAACTCACCGGCTACCGAACGACCTATTATACATACTCAAAAAAGAATTTGAGGTGCTGATTTCTCTAATAAGTTTATTAAATCGTCGAATTCAGCTCGAATTTTATAGAATTATTGCTACCAATTATAGGAATGATCTACACATATTTTTTCTTAAGGGCAAAACACAAGCACAAGTAGCGAGATTATATCCATTTGGAAAAACGTTCTCAGGAAGTGTATAAAATATAAACGTGGTTCTCCGCATTTATGTGTTCTTAAACAGTGAAGTTCGACGTGTACTGACTTGAACCTTCAAAACATTGAGCAGCCACAGCCCGTCGGGTGTTTCTGATAAGTAGAGCTCTTGGTCGAATCGAATGTGCCAAGTCACCTGAACACTTTCCGTGAAAGTATCTATAAAATGAAGAAAAATCTCCATCCTTTTTCGATGTTTCAGACTATCAAGTTTGCAAGTAATGTTCATGTCTCCATTCAGGTGGAGGTCTGATCTGAGGTCTGATGAAGCATAAGAAGTGGCTGAGGTGTGTACAGTTTTCTGGTTCGTAATAGTGTTCCAAGCTTCTGAGAAGGCACCTTCGCAATTCCAGCGACATAATTGCAGCAAGACATATTGGTGTTCATTTTAACCCTAAACAAATTTATCGAAGAAGAAAGCGGAATTGTCTGTCCTGAAATTATTATATCCGGTTCTAACACATTTATCTTTTTCGAGAAAACGATTCATGCGTTTTCGTGGCATAAAATTGAACCTATTCACTTTCACCACAATTCGAAATCATCTCTAGATCCTCATTAAAATATACAACCTCCTGCTGCCGATGAAGATTTGCATCCGCAGCAAATGTCCTGGAATCAAAACTGAATGACGAGACAAGTGTGCTGTCGTTAGCAAAGCAATTATTGGGTGCTTGGTTTTTTCTAATGAGTCGTTGATATACAATAAAGAGAGGGTTGGAAACACTATGGATTCCTGGGGAACACCAACATTGATGGTAAAATTAGAGAAATATCCATCGACGGCCACTTGCAGGGAATGCTTTCTCAGGAAGCTGGAAAACTATATACAAAAATGATCCAATAAGCCATAGCATCGAAGTTTGGCCAGCAAATCTTCATGCCACACACAGTCAAAGGCCTTAGGAATATCAAGCGCAACAGCTCTCGAGTCGTTGATATACAATAAAGAGAGGGTTGGAGACAATATGGATTCCTGGGGAAAAAGTACAGAGATATCCATCGACGGCCACTTGCAGGGAACGCTTTTTCAGGAAGCTGGAAAACTATACACAAATCGAAGTTTGGCCAGCAAACCTTCATGCCACACAAGGTCAAAGGCCTCAGAAATATCAAGCGCAACAGCTCTTGACTTCAAATACTTGTTTTCGAAAGCCATATTGATGATCGCTCAAGATGTTGAAGGAAATATTTGAAAATATGGTGGTTTGCGGCTTTCTTCATGATTTTTTATACCACTGATAACAAAGCGACTGGTCTATAGTCATTTGCGCGTTCTTACCCTTTTTTGGGTAAGAACGCGAACAATCTTCCAACAACAAGGAAAACCCCTTTCCTTGTAAGACACGTTGGAAAGTCAGTAAATACTGGTGCGAGTTCAGTGGCGCACTTTTTATGTACGATGATGGACACTTCATTAGGACTAGACGCCTTGTTGATATTGAGCTGTATCGAGTTAACTTTTATGAAATTGATTGCTTCCTTCCTTTTTTTTTTAAATTCCCACATTTCTTGTTTGAAAATGGATAAGTAGAAAGCTTAAACCGTCCTTTCCCAAAAATTATTCTTTTTTCAATCTCTTGTCAATTTGAACTAGAATGCATTTGTTTCATTGCCTTTTTTTATTCTACATTGAATTCCTTGATATATCGACATTATTGCTTGATCTATTCGCGGGCAGATGGCGCTGTACGTAACCTTATATAATTCGAACTCACTTTACATGTATTCCTTCATTTGGAAAAAGTTTTTTTTTATTAACACGCGTGCCAGATGCATTATATGTAACCCTCCTTTGTGCGCCTGCTGTCTTGGGCTTGGTAGCTGATTTTCAGGCTCCCTTTCCGGAATCGAAAAATATCAATGGTCATTTTTCTAAACAACATATGGCTGATTGATCCCAAAGTGTAGATGTAATAAATATAATTTGAAAAGACTTAAAAACACGCTTTTATAGCATACGAAAGTAAAAAATGAAAAATTTATATAGTTTGCAAAATTAAATAACACGCTTTTAAAGAACATCGAACTGAAGAGTTATTTTTTTTTCAAATAAGCTTAAAACAATAACGAACGAAAAATACTGGTACTATTGTGAAAAAAACGTGGGCGCTTTGTGCCATATTTTTTGTATATCAAGCGCCTGTCGCTTTTTTCACAAAAATACTAGTATTTTTCATTCGTTATTGTTTCAAGCTCAACTTTTTAGTTCGATGCTCTTTAAAAGCGTATTTTTTAGTTTTCAAAACTATATTTATTTACTGTATTGTTGTGAGTTTCTAGTGTGATATTCTCCGTTGTAAATTTTTCTGTGGGATTCAATTCACTATTTATGGTAATACAAGTAACAAATTAGAATTATCTAATAATCCAATAAGTAAATAAAATCTTCCAATTCTCGAGTCGTTTTTACAAATGAAATGACAAATTACGAATTCAAGTTCGTGCCTGAGAATAGATAATTCTTTAGATTATTCATCACAGTCACCTCAGGTTTTGTTTGCACTTATATCATAAAAATCATCTTCATCATCGGTGTTTACCCCTTTATCACTGATTTTGCTTGTTACTACTTATGGTAAGTAAGGTTATAATCGAAATATCAGCTAGCTCATTTTTTCAAGCTTATTTAGCACTGCTTTCGATATAGCAAATCCGAGCCGCCATAGTGGCCAGTGTTGAGAACCCAAAATTCAAATGGGTTTTCTATTCGAAAAAATAAGAACGGGGGTTTATAAAATAAGCGCTTTAATAGTTTTTTTCGGAAAGACTAACAGATAATAAATTATTCTAAAAGATGTGTCTTAGACTTCTGATTTAAGCTTCCTGATCGGCTTTCTTCGATTTGGTGTTGAAGAAACCATTCCTTAGTAGCATGGAGGCTAGATAGGGGTCTCCAAAAGATGTAGCGTGGCTTGTGGCAATGCCACCTCTACCTGTAAATACATCAATAACTTTATTGCTGGACAAATATACTAAAATCATTCCTACGGAATCATTTATAGCAAGAGAATTAAGTGAAAGGCTGAAGAGAATGTCTTAACATCTATTTCTCCTAATTTTTAAATGCAGTAATGATATTTTGAAAAGAGTAGAATTCGAAAATGAAGATCTCTTTAATTTTTCGACTCATACTATATAGTAAATCTAGAAAAAATAAATAACACGACATGTAAAATTACTCTGACCTATGTTTATTGGGTTTCGTAGAAATGGTTATTCAACCTTGTTTGTAATCATGACAAATACATGTTTTGGTACAAAACTACTCAAACACTTCAGTGATATTTTATTTCAAAGGCGTAAATTGTTGGGAATGGAATAACATGATAATTGAGAAATATTTGTAATGTTTTCAAATTAACGTGTAAAACGTTAGCGCTACTGTCATGATTTTCGGAGTTATTGATTCCGTTTTACTCTCTGTACTACCAAAGTACCAAAGTACTACCCAGTAATCAAAATATTTCAACTCGACTCTTTTCTTACATCAAACTGAATGCAGATTCTATCCCACAAACTCACTCTGCTCCTTCAAAAATATCTTTATCTATGGAGCTAGGCAGTTCATAGAATATCAGTGCAGAATTCAAATATTTCAATTAATTTGTTGTACGATTCGTAGAATACAAATGGAATAGTTACCAGTGGAAAAAGAGTTGGCTATGGCTGTTGCAGATCCAGAAGGAATATATCCATCTTCTTCTGCCGATTTTGTTCGTCTTCCTTGAAGAGGGCTTCCTCCGCTAATGGTGATTGGAAAGAAGGCATTGTAAGATGGAATACCTAAAATGATATCATAGATGCTTATAGATGCACATCAGAAATGAAAATTAATATCGTGGAAAGTTTTTATCACCCCAGGTTCAGTGTTCAACCAGCGTTCAAATAGTGTAGCAATCCTGTGAATGATATCTGATTCGATTTTATAACGAATGTTGGAAGTGCAAAGTTAATAGAAAAAAGTGTTTTTTATATAATCAAATATTCATATTGAACTTGTTGTTTCGAAAGTACTTTTCTTTTGTGCAATTTCATGTTTATGTGAAAGTAGTTATTTCGAGAGTGCTTTTTCATTCAGTTCGTGTCTCAAAGTTATTCCTTTGCACATATTCGTGAATTATTTATTTCAAAATGAATTGCTTTTTTCCTTTATTTGAAGAATTCCCACATTTTTTGTATCAAGATAGAGTCCCAAAAATAGTTGAACATGTTCTTTACTGCATTTTAATTCATGTTTCTTCATCTTGTGGAAGAGACCGGACCAAAATTATTCACTAATTGAAAATCAATGATGAAAGATATGGTTTAATTCAAGTATAGAATAAAAAAATGAAGTTTCAAAATGTAAGCCTTGATCTTTCTAAATTAGAATATTGATCTGAATGGACAATTAACGATACTCTTTTCCTGGAGAATTGCATTGTAATACTTTACCTCTTGCTCCTGCAAATGGCCATGATCCTGTTTCTTCTTCATCTTCTTCTTCGTCTTCATCTTTTTTCACTGGTTTCCTTTCAGTTTTGCTCTTGGATTTTCTTTTGGGTGGTTTGGCCACTGCTGCTTCTGTAGAAGGATCTTCAGCTATGACTACTCCTTCAACTTTTTCATCCAGAATCAACTCAGGCACTGAAACGTCAAAAAAAATGGCACTCACAATCTAATCGATTAGACGCTGGACTTCATATTGATTTCTTCAGATTTTTGAACTCACCTTGTGAAGGCTCATTTTGGTCAATATCAATTACTTCTGGTTTTGGATCCCCTAATGGTTGCGCATTGTATTTTTCGGTGAACCTTTCGTCAGTTTCTGATTCTTCCAAAGGCAGTTGTCCTTCTGGAACCAAGTTTGACCCAACAAAAGAGTTAGTAGCTATATTGTCGGTCAGTACAGCAGACATGGAACCTTGAGGAATGAACTCTCTGCTACGGCTAAATATGGGGTTGTTGTAATAACCCCCGATCATATAGGCGCGGCGAGGATTGGAGTGGATTCCTGTGGTAAAAAAGAAAAAATAGATGACTTTGATTAATATTCATCATATCATATGATGGCAAGAGAGTTTATGCAGAAGTTTATTGTTAGTTATTATATATCACGAATTTTTCAAAATTTTAGTTTGTTACCGGCACAAACTAGTGGTTTCTTTCTCTCTTTCTTTATTGCCTATGGTGAGTAGTTATGCATCTGAAATGAAAGTTTATTCTATTTTGTTTTCATTTGTGATGTTATTATGTTAAAAATCTCTTTTTTGGTTAACCAGCTGTCGCCCCATACGAACGACAACTCGCAAAAGTCGAAACTTCTGCGAGCTAAGAACTAACGAGGTCTTTTATTGTGTAATTCCTTACATGGATTGTACGGTAAGAAGTGAAAATACCAATAAGAACCTCACGGCATGAAACGTATCATATCGTAAAAGTAATCTAGCTGCCAGCAAATTGTTGAAAGAAATAATTCATGCACTATTTCTGAGACGTATTTCTAAAGTTTCGAGTCAGTTTTCAATTATTCTTACTGGAAATCAATGATGCCTTTCCTTACGATGTATAACCCTCCACTTAAAACATTAACCTCATTTTATTTTTACGGTTAACTTCTGAAAATGAGAAACGTCCGTCCTAATTTTTCTCCTGATATTCAGATTATTCTCACCAAATATATATATTAATATACATACATATTCCTCTATTCAAAATAAATACATATACAATAGATATTACACCAAAGGTTCCAAATATAAATATACAATGGAGTGAACCAATTTTGAATGATTTTGTTTTTCTGGAAATTGTAAACATGTTTGATATTGATCGGTCCGGAAAGAAAAAATTTTTATTGGAAATGATGTGGAAATGAAAAATTATTTTTGATTTGAGACGAAGAATCGAAATTCGAAAGAATATAACCCTCACATATATATTTAAGCAGTGAGAAATAAAGCAATAGAAAATACTATTAAGAACTAGAACTGACAATTCATCAGAAGAACTTGTAACCAAGTTAAGCCAACTGAATAATTTCAGCCTCTACAATGTGGTAATAATAGTGATCAAACGTTTTTTACTTTAATGTAGATTTGAAATAATGGGTACTCGTTTGACACTGATGAATTCAAAACAAAAACAAAAGAAAAATATGGGAAGTATAATGAAAGAATATGGTAAACCAGTCACAACACGCTTAAACGATTGATTTATTACCAGAAATGAAGCCTCATGATTCAATACTTCGTTCTATAAGGTCAAGTAGAACATTCACATCAAAAAACACTTTCGTTTTTCACAATTTCTCTTCTTAAGATTATTTAGACACTTCAGATATCAGCGGTTATTGTGGTTGAGCATACAGTCAGGTGTCTTCAGCTTCAGCTTCTAATATCAGTGCTTTATAGCTTTCTGTATTGTGAGTCCAACAAGTAGTTTCAACGTAAAATGATTGAGGTTGGACCAAATACTGCATCAAAACCATAAGTTACGGTAAAAAATTCATGCAGCTTTTGTTCACTCTAAAATTTTAGAGAAAATATTGAGATATCAATTTAGCGCAACTTTATTGATCTTTATGACTCTGATTTCATTCACACACTAGATGAAGCAACACACTATCAATCAGTCGTTTTATTATTTTCATGATATATACATTCATCAGATATTATAGAAATTATTTATTTTGAATTGTTTTGATATTTTGAAATTAATACTTGATTTTTTTCAAATGATTTTTCATCAATTATCAAGTTCCCATGAAACAACTTTAATTAATTTATTGAATAGGCTTTTTTTAGGTCGTGATTAAAATTTGAATGCTGTTCAAGTTATTGAAACAGTTCAATGATTTTGCTGAAGCGGAGGAACCAAATATGTATCAGAGAAAATAAAAAAAAATCCAAAATTGTACTCACCATAACCTGAAGGATAACCAAAAGTTACTCCAACTGATACCACACACAAAAAGCACAAAATATTCATTTTGATTTTTCTTCTTGAAAGTTCACAAAGTACTCTATGATAAAGAAGGCCCTGTTCGTATAGTTTTATATTGCGAAACAATCCCCCACTCTCGAAAGAGGGCGTTTTGCATTTTCAAGTGTTTGAATTAAAAATTCCGCACGAGTGCTAACATCGTGTAAAATTTATATTTTACTCTTCGCCATTTTTCAACACTATCTTCAGCAGGGTGTTGAGGAGACGCAGAGAACTATCCAGTGGCGTTGGTTTGGGAGAAATTGGGTTGTAGATAATTCCGGTTCAATGAAAACAAATATAAAAAAAATTATTTCATTTTCTAAAATATAAATATTTTTTTAAATATCAACATTAATACACTCCCACAGAAATGCCTAGTTCTTTTATCACATATACTTTAACGATAAGTTTGTGTGGTAGTTGTCAAATTTCATACAAATGCAAATTTTTTCTCGTTTCTCGTTTCACTTTCATGTCATAGATGTTGGTTCTTTCATATGAATACTTGAAATTAACCAATCAGGGTAGTAACTTTTATATTTTCCTGTTAGACCAGGTCTGTTCCGCTACAATATTAATTGAATAATAACTGATAATTGCATAATATACACTTGAACTCACATCAGTTTGCTGAATATGGCATATTCTACCATTTTCATTTTATTGATGTTATTTCGACTTCAGGTCCTTAGTGCATTCAACACTAAAACTATCCTGACAATTCATTTACCTGAAATCATTTGAGAAAACCACTCTAATGAGTTGGGAAGTTATGAAAACTCATTTTCATAAATTTTTTATGATAAATTCAGAATTCAAAATTATGAGAGCTGTATCGAGGCAAGATACATACGTACAAGAAAATGAATATTTCGAAATATAATTTCAAAACATCCATCTCTCCCAACCACGTATACCGTACGTTCTAATGAATGCCTGACGGAAATAACTACTTCCCAGGCTTCCCACGTTGGATATTGAATTATATTTGACTGACATTTATGCGAAATACCTCACAGAGGTGTTAGTCTTGAAGATGTTTCCCGTTCATGCAGCAGCAGGACCATGCTGAAATCAATTAAGTTGGTCACATACAGATGGTTTCGAGGTATTAGCTCTCATCAGTGCAGGAAAGATCCGACTCAAACAACACAGTGCCTGGGACTCGATTAATTTCAACGCGGCTCCACTGCATTGATTGGAATGTTTCTTTTTTTTAAGGACAGAACACAAGCACACTAGGAAAATTCTTGAGGCGCTCTCAGAGTGGTGCCTGTGCGAAAGTAGCGATTCACATTGAATTATAATCGCTGGAAATTGAATTCATTTGGAAAAACGTTCTCAGGAAGTTCATTCCACATGAACGCAGTTCTCCAGATGGAAGAACTCTTGAACAGTAAAATACGAGGTGTACTGAGTTGAACCTCAAAACGATGAGCAGTCACAGTCCATCGCGTATTTCTGATATATATCGCTCTTGGTGGATTCAAATGTGCGAAGTCACTTGAACACCTTCCGTGAAAATATTTATAGAAGAGAGACAAATCTCCAACCTTTCTTCGATGTTCCAGGCTACGAAGGTTGCACGTATCGTTATCGTCTCCAATCAGGCGGATGGCTCTCTTCTGGATGAAATTCAGCAACTTCAGGGACTGATCTGATCTTTGTAAAGCATCAAAAGTTGCTGAGGTGTGTACTGTTTTCTGATTCGGTACAGTGCTTCAAGATTTTGAGAAGCAGCTTTTGCAATTTCTGCGACATGATTGTGCCAAGACATATTGGTGTCCATTTTAACCCCCAACAAACTTATCGAAGCAGAAAGCGAAATTTTTTGACCTGACATTATTATATCCGGTTCGGAGACATTTGTCTTCTTGGAGAAAACCGATGCGTGGGTTTTTGTAGCATTGAATTGAACCTGGTTACTTTCACCCCAATTCGAAATCACTTCAAGATCCTTATTAAGATTTGCAACTTCCTGCTGCCGGTGAAGATGTGCCTCCCTAACCGATGTCATGGAATCCAAATGGAATGACGAGACAAGTGTGCTGTCGTCAGCAAAGCAATATATTGGATTCTTGGTTTTTTTCAATGAGTCGTTGATATATAATAAAACGAGGATTATAGACAATATGGATACCTGGGGTACACCAGCATTGATGGTGATAGTATTCGAAAGATATTCATCGACGACCACCTGCAGGGACGTTCTTTCAGGAAGCTGAAGAGCCATACACAGAAATGATCAGACAAGCCATAGCATCGAAGTTTGGTCAGCAAATCCTTATGCTACACACGGTCAAAGGCCTCAGAAATATCAAACGCAACAGCTCTTGATTCTGTTGATCTTTGTTTTGGAAAGCCATATTGATGATCGCTCAAGATGTGGAAGCCTTCCAAATATTTGAGGATATGGTGGTTTACAACTTTCTCCATTCACCATTCATTTTTTCCTCGCTTGGGGCTTTGTTTACGATATGGAGCTGTTACTAGTAAACAGTCTTTCTCTAAGATGGAGGTTTCATACATACAGTCGAGTCGCATTGCAATTAATCGAGTTTCAGGCACACTGTTGTTTGAGTAGGATCTTTCGTGCACTGATGAGAGGTAAATACTTCGAAACCGATCTTTAGGTGATCTACTTGATTGATTTCAGCGTGGTCCAGCTTCTGGATGAACGAGAAACATCAGCAAGACTAACCTCTATGAGGTACCTTGCATAAATGTCTGTCGGATATAATTCAATATCCATAGAGGTATTAGCCGGGGAAGTAGTTGTTTTCCGGCAGGTATTTACCAGGACCTATGGTATAGGTACTTGCGAGAGATGAAAGTTTCGAAATTTTATTTTGAAATATTTACTTTCTTGTAATTTCAGAATTGCAACTTTCAGTCATTGTTAGCTGATATTACGTCTCACGTAAAGTATTACCAAGACGAGTACATATTGCTTGTACTGTAAGAAAGTTATTGGATCACCTTATAGGCTAAGCTATTCGCGGTAGAACGTGTATAAACACCTTTCTACAAAACCTAGTTATGTAGCTTGATCGTTTGATAGGAATCAGGTCACGGATTCATTGTCAAAAATTCATTCAATATTTTCATCTTTCTGTCGATAATTTTTGAAGCAAACGTATTGTTAAGCCACATATTTCAACTATAATTTCTGTCTACATGGTCTAATGTAAAGAGTTGGGTACACTATTGTACAATACTTCACAAGAAAATGTTTTTGATGTGAAGCCATTTCTTTTTGTGACTTGCTTGCAGCAGTGTTGTTTATTTCCTTTTTCTAGAGTTGATTTCTGGCACAGCAGCAATGCTTTTCTTTTTATCCTACTCCCTATATTTGTTGAAAATTTTCTTTCCTGCATGTGTTGAATTTCATCGCAACGTGATGGCGAATAAGTACCAATTCATTAATTTGTCCTATACACATCTTCATTCCCTACAAAAAAAAGCTGGGGGTGACTTTGGAAATGTGCAGAAATACTCATTTTTTTAATGTTTACTTCATAAATTGATAAACATTGTATACAAACTTTCACCACATATTTCAAAGTATAGAGAGAAATAGTGAAGATTTGTTGTTTTTTTTTGTTCCTAGTTTATACACAAAGTTTCATTTCTCTATGACTTCAGTAAGTACTTTGAGCATCAGTAAATCTATAATAATATTGACCAAGAAATAGGGAACTGCTCTTACACTATTAAAAATAAATTAAAAAAAAGAAAAGAATGGATGACTGCAGAGCTCAGTTTCATCATGAAAAATCGTGATGAACTGCATCAACAGCTGCTATAAAATCCTACCAATGAAGAAATGAAATCGTTTATAAATCCACCAGAAATTGAATATCTTCCATGATACAAAAGACAAAGATCAATTACTACAAAAATAAAGTAAATTAGGCAGGCAGGGATTCAAGAAAGTTATGGAACTCTATAAACGAAATATGTTCGAAATCAATGAGACCTAGAAATGATCTGAATAGAATAAAATAGAAGGAAAATATATAGACAATGAAACAGAAATTGTAAACTTTATGAATGAACATTACGTCATACTGGGAAAAAGCTTGCTGAAGAAATTAATACTGATCCTGAATATATTGCCCAACAACGCAACCCGCTATTGAATTTTTTTTTTTACGAGCAGTTAACCAATATGAAATGAAAACAATATTAACACAACTAAGACCTATGAGGGCACCAGGAATTTATCTAATAATGCCTGAAATTTCTGACATAATTGCTGCACCACTAGCTGCAGTAATCAATAAATGCATTCTACAAGGAATTTTTCTTGCAGTATTTAAAGAAACAATTGTATTTCCCATATACAAAAATGGCGACAGAGAAGAATTTATCAACTACAGGTCAATTTCAGTAATAACAAACTTTTCCAAGGTATTCGAAAAATCTCTAAAAAAGCAATTGACTCCATTTCTTGATAAATTTGGCATAATTTCAGAAAAACAACATGGTTTCAGAGAAGGTGTTTCCACCCAAGACGCGATACTAAAATTGGCCTCCAAAATGTATTCAGCTCTGGACAAAAGCCAGCCTGCTCTCTGCGTCTTTCTTGACTTATCTAAGGCATTCGACACGGTAAGCCATAACCTACTAATCGAATCGTTCGAAAATTCAGGTATCAGAGGTAAAGCTCTAGACTTATTCAAAAGCTATCTCTCAGATAGATTGCAAAAAGTCCTCAAGGAACCGTACTAGGACCAATACTGTTCAACATTTGTTTAAATGATTTGTTTGAAGTCAATACCAAAGGAGAAATAATCACGTTTGCAGATGATGCAGCAATCTTTTACTCAGCCCAAGAATGGAACACTTCGAAAGAACTAGTAGAAAGAGATCTGTATGAAATTAAATTGGTTTCAGAATCGATTGCTGACCATAAACCCTAGCAAAACATTGTTTCTTCCACTATCCAATAATAAATCCACTTTGCCGTCCTTCATTACTTTTAAAATTTTTGATGATTTTTCAATAGAATCTACAGTCGCATTCAAATATCTAGGTGTGATTATTGACAGTCACCTCAAGTGGAATGAACATATCAGGTATGTGATCAAAAAAATACATTTTTCAGTTTCAAAACTGAGAAACCTCAGATATATCTTGAACAAAATCCTTCTGAAAACAGTGTATCACACAT